TTTAAAATTAACAACAATGTTTTATCTAAGAAACTTAATCAACTTAAAGAATATTACATGAACTACTATTAGATAGTAAGCAATATAGTGTGAAGTTAATTTGATGAGGAAAAATGACTAAATCTGAATGACATCTCTTTGGGCATTTGTAGTCAATTTGTTAAGGAACTGTCTATATCCAACAGACTCCTAAGAGAACAGGATTTTATATCTTGTTGAGGGAGCTTCTTTATTTCCAGATCATGTTTCAGTAATGTTCATGAAGTGTAAAATGACCTGAGCTTTGTGATAAGGAGAAACAGAAATAAGGTGAAAAATTAATGAATGTTGTTGGTATATTTATTTCTGTTATAAGTTTTAATGAACAGCCACTTCAAATTGGGGCTATTAATTCCAAAACGGACAACCTACATGTGATATCCCATAATGCAATATAATAAATAAGAGACAACAGAACTGAACTAATTTTCTTTCTTTTAATGATGTATCCACCATTGTATCTTTCAGTTCACTATATTATGGGATGTTGAACCTTATTCTAAGGGAACATTTGTTTCCTACCTCACAAACATAACTTCCTGTGATCAGGCTTGTATGATCTTGGAATTTACCTCCTTGATCCCTACATTAACCTTCTAACCTTCCAGTGAATCTCACTACCGTCCTATTTTGAGGGTCATGCTTATGGAACTTCAAAGTCATCAATTTATTTTATTTTTTACTTTTTGTGGTTTCTATTAATATTTGTAAAATTTGAACTAGAAGCTGATATTGTTCTTACATATCCTATGCAGTCTGGCCATCATTTGCTCTGGTGATCCATGTGTGTATTTCTGTGTTGCATGTACCAGCTTTTGATAGAGGGTTGCTACCTAGTATTTGAAACTGGAAACTTCCTCCAGTGGTTCACCATTCATGGTAATGCTGACACTGGTGGTGCTTGTGCTATTCACCATTGCTTTGGATTTCTGTGTTTAGTTCCATTCCATATGCACCAGTTCTTTCAACGAGTTTTTTAGTCAGGTCTTGCAGCTCAATATCATTGCCTACCATAAGGTCAATATCATTTGCAAAACACAGGTTGCAGACAGGTCTGCCTCCGATAGAGATAGAAGTGCTGTGACCGTGGGGTGTTTTCTCCAGAAATATCAGCTTCCAGACCAAGTTCAAGCTCTGAGAAAGCTCATCTGCATCTCCTACAAAATCAATGATTTTGTATGGAGTAAAGTTGAAAGTCTTGTAGACCAACAGGAATCTCTGTTCACCACTATTAAGCATTGGAAGATGTCATGCTTTGGCCACATCACACAGAATGACAGCCTGTGCAACACCATCATTCAAGGCACTGAAGGCAGACACAGTATGGGATGGCAATGCAAGGGCTGGTCAGATAACAACAAAGAGTTGACAGACCTGACAACTTGACAATGCTGGAACTCCTGAAGGCCACTGCCAGCAGATCATCTTGGAGGAGGTTGTCTGTTTCTTATTCCCTCAGCACCCTCCCTTGATGATTGAAGCAGTTGAGGAACTGATGATGATAGATATTTATCTTGAGTCTGCTGATCAAATAATTTTTCTTTTTAAATTTCTTAGATGAAACCCTTTGACAATTTCTTAATGTCAATGATTTTCAATTATAAATGTTAGACCATTATGGATGAGTTTGAGTCTCACTGGAGGCTTCATCTGTATTTCTGACCTGTGTGGCTTATTAATGGCTGCAAAATGTTGGGATGATAACTGGTAAAAAGCAACTGAAATCAAGTTGAAAGAATATTCATTGAAAAAGTAATACACAGGTTGATTGATGAGTAAGATCTCCTATCAATGGCATCAATAATAGTGGATTAGAAACATGTTTGAAAATATATTAAGTAGCATATAAGTTGAATTATATGAAAACCAGTTAAATGTTTAAATGTTTTTTTGTATTCTGTTGACAATGTTTTGTTGAATAAGAACATTATCAGTCAGTGAATGTCGAATGTTTCTTGTATAGAAATGGATAATTTTACCATTACCCTACCAGTCCAAATTTACAGATGTTTGAAAACGATGAAACTTTGCAAGCACTCAAACAATGCATCTGCAGAATAAAGTCTAGAAGAGAACCTTTTTTACATCATTATAATGCAGTCAACAAATGGTGTAAATAAATATTGAAAAGCCTGAAATTTACAATTGTTGCACATCCTCCATACAGTACCAATTTGGCATAATCAGACTTTTGTTTATATTACTTATATAAGACTATTGTCCTCATCTTTGTTATCACACTGTTTTAGCCATTTCTGGCTTTCATCAGGTGATTGTTGATCCAGGTAACTTCAAACTGAACCTTTTATTTGATCTACAGGGGTAGGTTGTTCTTGTTCTACTAACAATAGCCTAGTGGATTAAAATGTTAGTTTGTAAATTTAGTGACATAGTTATTTTGAGTTCAATCCCTGAACTGGCAGTGCACACTTGAAATCAATAAAAATGGGGCAAGCAATAACTGAGCAGTACTAAAAATAATAACTAGATGAGATATCTCTTGACATAGGCAGTGGAACAAGAATGGTCTACTCCCATAGATTAAATAAAGGGTTCAGTTCAGAATTCCCTGTAAATTACCCAAATCAGTACACCTGATGAAGGTCGGAGAGCACAACAGACAAATTGTTGTGATAACAGCAAAGATGGGGACAATAGTCCAAATGTAAATAATGATAACTCCTTATCCCAGAAGGCTTTTGGTTTTTCCTGAAATTGAAAATGTTGAAAGATCAGTGTTTTTCATCAGATGTCAAAGTTAAACTTGTGTGTAATAGGATCTAAAGTAAGCCAAAAACTTTCTTCATAAACAAAGCAAGAAAATGTAAATAGGACCTTTAGGGAAAATATGTTGCACAAATATATATAACATGTAATACATAATAACTGGTAGCATCAACTAAATATATTTTGACGACAATTGTATGTCTTCAACTACAGATAGAATGTATTGATAGTCATTTTGCTATAAAATGTATTGTTGGTAATTTTACTATAAATAGCTATTGCAGGTAATCTTTTATATAAATATGTATTGCTGATATTTTTACTATGATAATGTATTTTTTTACTCTTTCATAATTTTTTGCTTTTGTTTAGGGGTTCACTATTTGCCCGTAGCTAACAGATGCTACCACTCTGGGACAAGGTAGACCTGGGAACAACAGTAATTAAGAGGTGGTTTCATGCTCCTCAAAACCTCCAATATTTCAGTCAGAGGCCTTGCTGCTGAATATAGTTTATTGTCATACTCAGGACTTGATTTATAGGATTAGAGACTTTAGTTATCAATACTTATAATAATTGCCCTTTATTTCTTAAAAATTGATGTGATATTTAAAGAAAAGCAGAAACTGTTCTAAAATTTGATTTATAGGATTAGAGATTTTACTTATCAATACTTATAATAATTGCTCTTAATTTACAGATCGTGACAGCTATTAGAGAGATGTGATTAGATATACTTTTATGTTTTAAAAAACTTATTCAGTATTATTATTGTTTAGCTAATAGGCATTATAACATAGCACAAATACCTATATTGTGGGAAAAGGAATTTTTGACTATATATGCATTTTTTATGTATTTATGGTTATTTTTTAACCTTTATCAAAAATGACATTCTTGTACATGTAGTTATGGATAATATTATACATTAATTGCTAATTTTTTAATTAATAACTTTGAGCTCAGTTGTTGACATTAATAGCTATCTGCTTGTTATATACCGTGCTAATATGAATATATACTTGAAAAACAAGGTGGATAAAATAAGTAAAGGTTTATTGTAAAAAAAAAATAGTACAATAAGAATAAAGATAACAGTTATGCACAAGGTCATTGCAAGTCAATCCAATAGTGAGTGTTACATTTGGAAAGTAGGTAATTCTCACGCAAGTCATACTCGACAGATCCCAACTAGTCTGTATTTACCAGCCTCCCCACGTAGGATGTGGCACAAGGTTGAGTTTAATGTGGGGTAATCCAAGCCTGTAGACTCTGCCAAAAATTCCCCATAGACCCTGTATAAAACAGGGTCAGGTAGCTGTTTCCCCGAGATGAGACTCTGTCATTCAACATAGCCTTGTCTGGGGATCCTCTCTGTCCAGAGGTAGAGAGTTCGACCAGCACAGTTGGAAAAGATTCCAGCTAGTCAATATTTACTAGCTCCACCCCATGAGGGTGGATGTGGCACAAGACCAAGTTTAACAAAAATTCCCTGTAGAACCCGCACAAATGGGTTTGGGTCTGTCTACCTCCTCAGACGAGACTCTGCTCTTCGGCATAGCCTTGTCTGGGTTCCTCTCTACCCGAAGACAGAGAGTTCAACAGCACAGCTGGAACAGATTCCAGCTAGTCAATGTCTACTACCCCACCCAGGGTAGATGTGGCTAAGCCAAAAATATTCCCTTTCGAACCTGTATAAACAGGTTCAGGTTCAGTCTACCTCCCCAAACGAGACTCTGCCCTTCAGCAGAGCCTCATTCAGGCTCCTCTCTGCCCGAAGGCAGAGAGTTCGACTGTATAGCCGAAAAAGATTTCAGCTAGTCTCTGTAATCTGTTGACTTACTTATAGGTAGTTATTTCCTATAGTGTAGTCACTCATGGGGTTGACAGGTTATTCCATTACATCACTGCTGATGTGTTAAAATTTTGGAATAATGCAATAATAAAAACTTAAATTTCATCTCTCTGATAGATGTTGCAATCTGATAAAAAAAAAAAAAAAAAAAACTTTTAAAATAGCAAAATTCTATTCATTTACTTAAAGCCATGCTTACAACTGCTGATATGGCTGGTGTATAAAAGAGAACCTTAATATTAAAACTACTAGAAAATTTCTTCATTTTAAAATGTTTGTCCTTCAATTGTTTGTTTTTCCTCTTTTATTAAATTTAACTTATTTCTGTCCCCATATAAATATTGAATAACCTAAAACAAGGCTTTTCTGTTTCTTCCAGATAATCCAAAGCATGTGTCTGAACGTCACAAGGACATGTATGAAGATATCCTGGATGACCGAAGATCATCCAGTGATCTCCGATGGTCTACAAGAACCAGAGAAGATGTGCCGACATATCGGTATAACACTCCTCGAACACCAGTTGATATCAAAAAGCATGTGTTGAAGAGTAAAAGAGTTCAGTATGTGTTGGAGAAGGTAAGCAAGTTTATTTTTAAATTTTTTTTTTTTTCATCTTGGCAAAATTTTGATGTTATTGTAAATTGTTTCTATCAGTGGGAAGAGGGTGAAAGTGATTCTGATCAGCATTTCTTTAAATAATCACTGATTGAGTGAAAAAACAAAAACTCAACTATTATTAAATGGGCATGTTCATTTAACATAATTGTTTTATTCAAAATGTATTTCCTTCTTTATCATCTGATATAAGTTTTAAAAATTTCTCTTATGACCAGAAAGTGAAATGACTATATTGAATCAATTGTTAGGTTTGTTGCTTGAAACGTTGCTATAGACAATTGTTTTCTCACCAGAATCTATCTTACACATTTATAAGTCTACTATTCGTCCATGCATTTAATATTGTTGTCATATCTGGTCTGATGCTTCTGCTATGTATTTAGAGTTTCTTGATAAAATACAAAGAAGAATATGCAATGTTATTGGTCCTGGCCTGGCATGTTGGCTTCAATCACTTTCTTACCACAGTAACATAGTTTCCCTGTGCTTTTTAAAAAAATATTTTCATGGTAATTTTTCTGATGAGCTTTCCTCTATGGTACTTCAATTTTACAAATTTAAATGCAGTACTAGAATGGCAGCTAAGTCTCATCATTTTATAGTTGAAGTGACTAGATGTAACCATAAGTTCTATGCTAACAATTTCTTCTCTTGCAGTTCTCACATGTGGAACTCTTAGTGGCTTTATTGCCTTGCTTGGGGTAAAATGTTTAGAAAAAAAAAATCATTGTTTTTAATTTACTAAATTTTTATGTTTTTTTTTTTTGTTTTTCCCAAAGTCAAAATTGAGAATACTTTGATGTTATAACCTCCTTGAGAAATACAGAACAAATGCATTTTTTTATTATTTTTTTTTAATATGTAACATATTTTAGGACATAAAACAAAGAAGAAATTATTTCTGAAATAAAGATGATCTATTATAATATTTAATTATAATATTTTAATATTCTCTTTTACTTCATTTCGAATATTGCTAACATTTATAAATTCTACAAAGTTTAAGTTACAGTTAAATGACTAAAATGGTTAGAAAGACATTATTTTTATCGGTTGAATTACTAAATAGTGCATTTGAGAAGAATTTGTAATAGTACTGGGGTAAACATACTGACATCTTAAAAGGTTGCTAGATGGGTTTATTTTTGAAAGCTAAGCTGTACTAAATTTTGAATTTAACTACTTTTGGCATTTTGGAGTTACTTTTACAATTAGCTGCACTAATTTGGGATACTGATGAAAAAAGTCAATCCAAAATTTATTTGTGCTGAACTTTCAAATGTCACACAATTTGGCAATCTCAATTTCATAAACCATAAGAAATGAGTTCAATCCTTACCAAGTGCCCATGATATGCAGTCTTTTATCAATGTTAGTTTTATCCAACAAATACTTAGTACATTCAGTGCTTTTTATTCTCTATACACTAATGTAACTAATAATAGCTGTTTTCCAGCAATGTTATTTATTTTCTAGGAAGTTTCTATTGTTTTATTCTTGGCCTAAACACATCAGTAAAAAAATTCCAAATAAAATAATGTTGCCATTGAAAGTGTTAAGTTGTAGATTCTGAACCTATTAATCTTTACGGTCAAACTGTGCTGAAAACACAAAAAAAAATTTTTTTTTCATTCGGTCAGTGAAGTTAAACAGTGTCAAGTCTGGTCAGTATTTACATGGGAGACTGCTTGAGAACACTGGGTATTGTATGTAACCTCCTACATTCTAAAATATGTTTTAGCTTTAAATAACCCACAAAGGGTTGATAAACTATAAAGACAGAAATCAATAATCCATTTATGTCCACCATAAAATCCTGTATTAATTATATATATTTTTATTTTTAATCTTGTGAGTTTTTTAAAAATTGAAAAAAAATCTTATATTAATTATAAAGAAAAAATATTGAAAATAAATCCTATATTAACTTTTTAAAAAATTAAAAGAAAATCCTTTATTAATTACTAAAAAAAATGAAAAACAATCCTGCCTTAATTAATTATAAAAAATATAATTAAAAAATAGTTCTATATAAATTATTAAAAAAGATAAATAAAATAGTTCTGTATTAATTACTAAAAAAATAAATTAATAAAAAGTTCTGTATTAATTATTTTAAAAAAAAAAAACAACAATTAAACAATCCTGTATTATAAAAAAAAATATTAAGGAATAATCCTCTATTAATTATAGAATAATAATAACTGTTAAAAGTTTTAAAGCAAATAAAATTAATTGAAATGGTTAGTTGAGGACTGGACACTATTAAAACTGTGTGCATGTGTGCATAGAGTGAACTACATTTCTTTGATTTTGTTATTTATTTGTTAATATTAAAAGGAAACAAATGACAAGAAAACATTTTAATATTTATTTTAATAAGCATTCTTAAAATAACTCCAGTCATTCTTCTTGAATAAAAGAGATAAAAAAAATAAAAATGACTGTTGCAGATAAACTTTATTTTTTAATTGCTTTCTTTTGAGGCCAACTGTATTGACTTTCTTTTCTTTTGCTTGGTTGTCAGTTGTCACAAGAATCGGGGAAGTCCATTGCTGAACTGACCACCGAAGCAGCCGTTATCTTGGATGAGATGGGGCACAACATCAACATGGGAGCAATTCGTGGATTTGCTTTCTTTCTAGTCAAAATATTCAAGCAACTTTACAATCATATTTATGTCAATGAAGATGGTATACAAAAGGTAAGTAATGAACTGATCATTTTTTTTTTTATGAAATGCTTATTTGTTTACTTACATGAATATTTTTTCAATCAATATTGGTTATTTTTTATTTTTTTGCACTCCCAATACTCAATCATTATCTTTTTTTTATTCTCTTGGATGTCTATTTTTGTTTACTATTATAGTCTTTTCTATTTCAGTGGTGTAACCTTACTCTATAAAAAACTGTTTCTTAAAAGGACAGTTATTCCTTTGACACTGCTATTATTGTATATGAATGAATTTATATATATTTATTCTCATCAATTGACAAAGTTCATTAATATTTTTATAAAATTATAAATAAAAACTTGTTTGATAGTTATTTATAAAATGGTAAATAATAAATATTATCTTCTTGTTGGTTTACATATTTAATCTTTAATTGTTTGAAGTAATTTATAACTATTGATTAATTGATCTGAAAAAATGGTTGTATATAGATGATAACTTAGACCAGTGTTTCTCAACCAGTGATCTCCCAGAACCCTAGAATTCCACAAGAGGTTGCTGGGGGTTTTGCGAAAAACAGTATTAAATGCATTTTTGAGTAATATTTGCTTAATTTTAAATTTGTAGAAGGTAAAAAGGTTGAGTAATGTCTAAATGTTGCTAAAATATGGCCATATGCTTAATTTCCAACTAAAAAAAAAAAAAAACAACCTTGAGATACCAACATCAATGATGAACATGGCCATCATGTATTGGCCATATTTGTCATTAAAACCATCCACACATCCAAGCTTACAGAACTGGTATTACTAAGCAGTCACTTATCTAGGTACTGACTATATATATATATATATATATATATATATATATATAGAGTTGTTTATTTGTGCAGTAATCCCTCTTTAATACAACACAATATTTTTGTTGTTATTTTATTATATTTTTCTTCTAATATTTTTTGATTCCAAGTGCTTTCAGCTAAACTATTAGTCATTTTCAAGGGTTTTAGTTACATTATTATAAATGGTGTGTAAGTGTTATTGTAGACAGTCTAAATTGGTGCTTCTCAACTAGTATTCCCTCTGTGACACTATTTAGTGGTTGCGTGAAAATTAAAAGCGAGAAATAATTAAGGTGAGAAGAAGCTATCACGAAAAGACGTACTGAGCGATGTTATTTTTTTTTAACAAAGAAGATTGGTAAAGATTTTATTTTCATTCGCGAAAAAAAGTTTTTTTTTTTGCAGAAGATAGGAAATTTGTAAGACCTCTGATATGTCAGAATTAATTTATGCTATGACGCGGCGAAAGAAGATAGCAATCTGTCCATGGCAATAATGAAAATTTCAAATTGGTCAAGTGGCCTACGAAACAGTAGCTGGAAGATAATCGTAATCAGGTCACGCACTGATCGAGAAAGGCATCAGCTGAGGCCACCCCAGAGAGAAAGGGAAAGAATAAACCATTAACTCTCTTTCGGAGATATCATTTGTTTTGGAAAGAGACCACCTGTTTTATTGTCCAGACCTGGACATGATAAAAGTTCGTTACCGGGACAGATAATTGGTGACAGGGTGCGAAGACATCCAGTTGACCACTCATTTGGTGCTGGTGAAAATCTCGTTGATAAATTCCAGATGACATTCGGTTAAGATAGAGATTAAGGACCACACTACGAGTCGTATGGGTCTGGTGTAGGAAAAGAAAGAAAAAGAAAAAAAAAGAAAGATAATTTTTTTTTTCCTTTGAGCGATAATTGTAAACATCCACGCTGCTGAGCGTCATTGGCTGAGTGGTGGCGTGAGCAATGGGCGAAGGTAAACATATGAGAAGGAGGGGAGGTCTGTTGATGCCTCTGAGGGGATTGGTGTGAGATACCAATATGAGAAAGGAAGAATTGGGGAGGACGATTCCCTTAAGAACCCCTCTAAGACAGAAAGTAATGGACTTCCAAAAATGGAAAGTGATAAATTTTCCTGTCCAAAAACAAAGAAAATCCTTATTGTGGACTTAGAATTATTGAGGAACCCAAACCACGATAAGCCACACTCGGTTTTGGTCAGCGTCCATATAAACAGTCGCAGCGAGTAGACGGCAGTTGGAGTTAGAGAGTTCGGCAGAGTTCCGAGGAGACGTAGACAGAGTTGAGCTGTGAGCTCTGAGACCAGCCTCGCAGGAAGCTGACTGAAGATCCATGCATTCGACTTCTAACCAAGAACAATTTAATTTTAAAGAACGACTTAGACTCACACCACCAAAACAAGTTTTATGAATATCGCCTGAAGACATCAAAAACCAGTTTCTTGAAAAATCACCTTAAGATGTTAAGACTCGCCTAACAAGCGCAAAGTGTCACGTGTCCATAGAAGCGGGTTGGGAGAAAGACGCAGTCCTGTATTCAGCAACCAGATATAAAAATATTTGTTATTCTTTTTTTAACACATTTGAACTTTTTGAGTTGTTACCTTATTTTCTTTTACATATACTTGTGCGATGTCACCTTTGCTCGAATTCAGCTCGCATTATGGCCCAGCGACTGATTGATTTCGTCTACCCAAGATCAAATCACAACATGGGTAGGTTAGACTAGAAATCAAAGCAGTTACTTCGGTAACCAGACGTTGGAGGTAAGCTGGGGACGACAAAACTGATACCAAATCTAACCAGATTCCCATCTGAATCGGCCAAGGGTTAGAACGTCACATTTGATGCCGCAACCAATACCAAGTCACATTGGTCGTCACAGGATAGCACGGGGGCAGAGAGAGGCCGGGGTGACGTCACACCTGGAACCCTAGGCTTCTGCAAAAGGTTGCTAGGTTCTGCAAGAAACAGTGATAAATACACTAATGAATGTTTGAATAATTTTTGTTGAAGTTTATATCTGTAATTTCCATATTCACATATGGCATATTGTTGGAAAATCCTTGGTTATTATATTATTTAAAATTATAATAATGTATTAAAAAAAAATATAAAAAAACACAAACTTGAATAAAGTAAAAAAAATTAGAATAGAATCAAGTAATGAATTCAGCAAGAGAAATGAATAAATTGTTGCATGGCATACAAATTATTTTGTTTTTCTTCCACTGAATGAATTTTGAATCCCTCGTCGCCAAGTGTTGTATATGGTGAACGAATTTTTTTTCCCTCCGTATGAGATCTCATCCTCGTCGCCAAGTGTTGTAGAGTGTTTTCACAGTGGATGCTTGTATTTCACTAAGTTGGTCCTAAAAAAGTTCGACTTACAAAACGTTAGGAACTTGATATAATAGGTAATGATGCAGAGAAATCTAGTGGTGGTTGCTGATACTCTTAGTGTCTGACATCGACTGACTGACCAACTCACTGACAACAGCCTTTCAACCTTTTATACAAAATAACCATCTTAAATTCATAAATTAATAAGTCTTCGGCATAAAATGACCCAAATAGGAGTTGACATGCCGTTAAATCCAACATCCATCCATCCATCCATCCATCCAACTCACTAAGTGACTTCGTGACTTCTCCTACTACTACTACTTATTATATGTGGGAGAGTCTATTAACTATAGAATAGGTGTGATCCAGTATAACATAAATGAATAATTATAGAAATAAAATAATTATAAAAATGACAAAAACCAATTAAAATAAAAATTGCAAGCAGTTATGATTGGATGTATCATCTATTTATAACTTAATTAGTGACAATATATTTATTTTTTTTTTATTTGTATCTATATGGTGTCAGTGAGAAGCCACCTTCATTTGTTAGTGGACAGGACCTGTATGTGGTGGATTCATGTATCATTGAGTGACTCACTTGAATACAGAATATATGTAGGTGTCCATATATTATGCTTACCATGTGAACTATAAGAAATATAAAAGAGATAATGGTATATAATAATTTTTATACAGGAGTTTCTTGAGATATGAAAACTATTTCAAGGGCGGAAGAAGGGTGAAAAGGTTGAGAATGCTGGCTTAGATATTTATGAATGAGTTGGATAGCTATGCATGACATCTGTATGACAGTGTAACTCTAATGAGGCTATTTAAGAAAATGACACAGGTTAATATTTTGGCTTTGTAGCATCTTATAATGTTGGACAATGAACCCCAAGTGCAACCTATCCAGTATTCGATTTCCTTTTCTCCTATACTAAATTTGTTATAACTGATGCTTACACCAATGTATTTAAAATGTTTAAAATTTAATAATTCCATGTTCTGAATTTTAATGATGCATGTTAGATGTTACATACAAAATATATATGTGTATATGTGCATTTTTATCCAAATAAAATATTTTAAAATAATTTTTGTTTTATTTGATTTTTATCAAGGTGAGAAATTTGCTCAAGGACTATCCTGTACTGTTAATGCCCAGCCATAGAAGTTACATGGATTTCCTTCTGATCTCATTTGTTTTCTTTCATTATGATCTGCCACCCCCTGCAATTGCTGCAGCTATGGGTAAGTGAAGTCTTAACATTGTTTATATTTAACTTCATTTATTACACTTCATAGTTGTATAAGTAACATATGTAGAAGCTATGTAGATCACAAGAAGGTATGGTAAAAAAATATCTAAGATTCAACTCTATTTTTTCTGATAATGTTCAGTCTTGTTTAAGTTAGTGTTAAAAAATATAGAATTCAAGATGTAAAAAAAACAAAAAAATCAATAACTGATAGTTTCTTAATTAAATATTGGAAAACTACATGTATACTTTATCAGAGTAAATCTAATTCATAAATATCTTTTTAAAATCTAGTCTCTCATTGCATAGCATTTATATTGAATACAAATTAAAAATGTTTTGTTCCCATTTTACTTTTCATTTTGCTCTTTTCATGTCATTTGTAGATTTTATGAGTATGAACTTTTTTGGTTGGCTGCTGAGAAATTCTGGTGCCTTCTACATTCGCCGTACCTTTGGTGATAATGAACTCTATTGGGCAGTATTTACCGAATATGTCCAGACTCAAATTTCCAACAGTGACCGACCAGTTGAATTCTTCCCGGAAGGAACTAGGAGTCGAACAGCTAAATCCTATTGTCCAAAATTTGGTGTGTATTTTTTTTTCTTTATTATTGTTAACATTTGTATACTTCATTTTTAATGTCTCCTAAAAAAAATATGATGAAATGCACAGATGGAAAGAGGAATTCCAACTGAAATTCTGCCCATTGATATTTTATTGTCTCTTTTCTCATAGCACAAGAGAGATGTCCACTGGGAAGTGTTCATCTCCCCAAACTCATGGCTGAATCCTACCAGAAAGAAATTTTATTGAATATTTTGAATTTATATATTTTATTGTCTCTTTTCTCATAGCACAAGAGAGATGTCCACTGGGAAGTGTTCATCTCCCCAAACTCATGGCTGAATCCTACCAGAAAGAAATTTTATTGAATATTTTGAATTTATATATTTTATTGTCTCTTTTCTCATAGCACAAGAGAGATGTCCACTGGGAAGTGTTCATCTCCCCAAACTCATGGCTGAATCCTACCAGAAAGAAATTTTATTGAATATTTTGAATTTATATATTTTACAAAATAATTTGTTAGGTTCTTTACTAAAAAGATACCAAAGTTAAAGTAATCTCTCTCTCTCTTCTTTTTCATTTTCTTCTTCTTTTCTATTAAGCAATTGATCTGAATTAACTGATGGTTATAGTTTTAATTTAGACATTAACTTTTGAAATAACTTTTTTAATCATTTTTATTTCTCCAGTATAAATTGTTTTTTTTTTTTATTTTTATTGCTTGTCTGTGTTTAGTTTAATATTTTTATGATGTAAACCATTTACTGCTGATGACAGAAATTCCTATCAACAGTAAATATATTGTGCGTAATTAAGTTACTTAAATATATTGTCACTAATTAAGTTATAAATAGATGATACATGCAATCATAACCGTTTGCAATTTTTATTTTAATTGGTTCTTGTCATTTTTATATTTATTTTATTTCTATAATTATCAATTTCTTTCTCTTGCTGAATTCATTACTTGATTCTATTCTAATTTTTTTACTTTTTTCAAGTTTGGCTTTTTTTTTTTTTTTTTTTTACTTTAGGCATGTTGTCTGCTGCCATAGAAGTTTATTTCAAAGCAAATGTGTCTGACATAAAGATTATACCCATCAGTATTAGTTACAGCAGAATTCTAGAAGAGCAGTTGTACGCATATGAATTACTTGGTGTGCCTAAGCCTAAAGAATCAACCTATGTAAGTAGATTTTCTTACCTTGTTTGAATATTGTGCACCTTTTTAATTTTCAGATGTTTTATAACTGCAAAATTTTGATAAGTATTTGTAGGGATCTTCTGGTACAGCCAACAAAATGGTATTACTGCATTTTTCAGCCTATAATATGTTTATAAGTATTTTAAGGTACTCGCATTCATTGCAACTTATTCAAGATCCATAGATGTTCATTTCAAGTTATGGTAGATAAGCCCCCTAGTTATAAATAATATTAGTGAATGTAATATTTAGCTGTTTTTTTTTTTGTATTTGTTTTTTTTTTTTATATTTAAATTTACAAATCTGGTATTTTTATATTTTTAATGTTAACATTGAGTTAGGATTATGACAAATATTAAACAATCATTATTTCATGACAAGGTTTCCTTCATATTGTATTTATTTCCTTCTTGAACAGGATATTTTTAACTGCTAAAATAAACCATGCAAAATCAGAAATAAAACAAATAAGTTCTTATTAGACTGACTTACATCCTGTACTTTGGAAGTATATATATATATATATATATATATATATATATATATCCCCTGATGGACTTTATCAAGGCAAATTTGCCTTGATATAAAGTCCATGATGGGATGAAATATATTGATAAAGAAAAATCTTCATTTTGATAAATGTCTTCTCAATACTAATAATTTATCTTTTGGTATTAAGAGAGAGAGAGTAATAAGATAACAATTGGTATTGGTTGTGATTATAGATTGAAAATTTCCCCTCCTATTTCTACCTAGTAAGTTTTGATATGTGTAAACCTTTTGTCAAGGCTCACAGCCAACCTGGAAATCAGGGAATACTGATTTAATGTTGGGGAAAGCAGCAAATTTTCTAATGTTACTTGACATGCATCTAATTACATATTTACTACATGCTTTTCTTTCCTTCTTAGATTGAAAATAAAATTGTTTAAAAATAAATAAGTATTATTTTTGTGGTATATATTTTTCTAGATTTAGTAAAATTTGAATGAAACTGTTTCTTTGTTCATTCATCTTTTTAGCTGTGTCTGAGCATGTCTATAGACGTAATACTGTTTGTTTGTCTGTTACACAAAATTGGAGAATTTCAGTGGAATATTTCAGAGAAATCTAGCAATTATCAAAGAATTAAATCATTAGTCTAGGAACCCTGTTGTTTTTTTATATATATATATATATATATATATATATATATATTGTAACCCGGATATAAGAGAGATTTTCTCTGGTCCCAAAGTGTTCCCATACTTATCTAAACAAAATAGACCAAACCCGGATATAAGAGAAACCCGGATATAAGAGACTTCTTCTCCGGTCCCAACAACTCTCTTATATCCGGGTTACACTGTATATGTATATGCACACACACACACACACACACACACACACTGTATACTTGTGTATAAGTCATTTTAATAGTGCAACCCCCAAAGATTTTGGCATGGAAAAAATTTACCTGTGTATAGTGCAACTGGTCACTGGAAATGCAGGATTTTTTTAACCTCTTCAAAAAATTTACCTGTGTATAATGTGGCCCCTTATTTTTTTATATAAAAAACTGATCATAAAAACTCACACTATACTTGAGTATAGGGAGTATATAAACATAACTGTATTTGTACAATATTATCTATTATTTTTTCTTTTCAGGGTTTGTTCCAAGCAAGAGGTGTGTTATTTAATGATTATGGCAGTATCCATGTTCATATTGGAGAACCAATCTCTGTTAGTAATTATTGTGAAGGTGTCATAGATCGTTCATGTCACAACTTACTTCCAAGGTAAGTCACAAATGTGGATATATATGAATGGGAATTAGAGCTTGCCCTTCAGAACCATGTGACCTTCTATCCCGCAATTTCAGATTGCTAGATTATGTTTCACTTATTGCGATGAACACGTGTTTTCTCTGGGTGGCTTTGTGCCTTGAGTGCCTATTGGAACTTAAGCCCAACCCAGATCTCAAGTTGAACTTGTACTTACATAAGATACTTTAAAAATGGTGAGTTCCCTGTGCCACTCTAGAAAATAGCTGACTCCTCCTCCTGCTATCCTCTACCTTCAAAAGAGCCAGATCAGGTTGAAAATGGAGTCGGTCAGTTAAGTGCCATATGTGATACATGATTGGGCGATCGTGACTGATTAGGCAGAAGATTTTCCTGCTGTAGGTTACCATTTCTTTCTGCAGTAGACCAGTTGCCACCCAAAGCTATAGAACCAGTCTGTCCTATTTTCCCATAGCTGGGAGGAGAAGAGTTCAATTCATATCTTCTCCAAGAGTATTAACACATAAGTTAATGAAATGAATTAGACTGGAATTCAAACTTGGCTCACCGATTCCTTAATCTGAGCCACAATCTGTTACTCTACCATGCCTCCCTAGATTACTGCTGCCATATATGGACAGGAGCTTCCCTGTCTTTACTTTATAGTTTTGATAGTCCAAAAGCATTGCTGCGTCCTTGTGGGTGATTATTTTCCACCTTACTCCCCCTTTCTCACAGATGAAATGTCGCAAGTCACTTGCTGCTCTATCACTATTTTCATGGAAAGTGTTCAAATGAACTACATTCCTTACATCAGTTCTAACCTTTATGGCTAAGACCTGCCATGCAAAGGAAATGAAGGTGGTTCACTGCAATGTGTGTACATTGCAGTGAACCACCTTCATTTCCTTTGCTTTCTATTGGTGAGATATAAGTTACACTTGAGCAGCTTCTTCCCACAAATTGCTGCTTTGTGGAACTGACTCCCAAGAGGATGCTTCCCTGATTACTACAATCTTAACTGTTAACTCTAGACTTGAACAGGTTATCTTCCCTACATATTCCTATAAACTGTGCCTCTTACTCTATAACCTAAATAAATGGCTTTTGGGCCTTCTACAGGGTGAACATCACTGTAAAAAAAAATAATTGATAGTTATTAAAGCAGTGTTTTTTTTTTGTTTTTTTTTATTATACACTACTTTTAAATAAATTTTTAATAAATTTTCTCCTCTCTATTCCATAGTCACAGAAAAGCTTAATTTTTTTTTATTTTCAATATGTCAAAATTTTAATGTTATTTGTATTGTGGCATTAAGATCTCCGGGGGTTGATCAAACAAAAAGGGAAAGAAAGAAAGGAAGAGGAAAGAGTCGACTAACTGGATGATAATTGTTGAAATTCGCAGGAAGAAAATTAGAAACAAAATGCGTGGAAAAACTGTTTCAAAGTAGTAAGTGAACTCCTGAGCACTTCCACTTCCCACTGATGAGAAGAAACCTTTAATGTATCCTTGAAGGCATCAAATAGAAAAACATGTTGTTGATTAGGAAAAACCAGGGTGGTCACCGAAATAACATTTAATGATTGGTCTGGACAAAATTTCTTTTTGCATATGCATTCTGAAAGTTTAGATTCTTCACAGGGACAGTGTGTCAGCCCATGTGGCTGAGGTTAGATGCTGAGAAAGTGGGAGCAGGAAGAGAGAGATTAGCACCACTTATATGGAGCAATGGTATGAGATGTTAAGGAGTGGCTTGATTCCTCTGACCACTCTGAAAAGGGGGCTGGGCAAACTCATTTTGAGAATATGGAATTTTAGGAAAAGATTAATGCTAAGGGTGGAAGATAACCAAACACAAATCCCGGTCAACCCCCACCCCCTGCTGGACACAGAACCCCATATAAGCTGGAGGTTTGGACAACTTGGAGAGTCCCCACTACTGCTACTGGAATCCACATTTTTTGCCAAGACATCTTGACCAAGACCTTGTGCCAGCCCCAAAAATCAGAACTTAAAAATTTAAATTACTACTAATGCAAACTGCAAACTCCAACAGGGGATTTGTTCATAATGGTAGTGGGAAGGTTTAAAACCACTGTATACAACAAATCATATATAAACCAAATTGTCATTACATTTTTAAGTTAAAATTTTAAGTTAATTCTTTATTCCAAAGAATTCTTTTTTTTTGTGTAGCTCCCTGTCTTCACTTCAATTTGTTTCATCAGCAACCTTTCACCCTCTGAGATCAAGAACACAACATGGCAGAGGAGTGAATGGTCATGAACAAACGCCAGCTAAGTTGAGTTGAACTGTGCCCATCATCACGATACCAGCAACAAACAAGCCAAGCATTAATGAGTGAGGAGACAGCTAGATGGTAACCATAATGGTCTGAAGAAGCTTGAGAGCCAATGTGGGGGTGTGGTTACTTTATTGATTGCCATTGACCAAGATCGACTAAGGGCTAAATTATCATCTTTAGTATTATTGTCATTAAAGCTTTTCCTTGTACATCACACACACACATTACCCAAAATATGAGATTGAGACACATTGCATTGTTTAATTAAAGTTAAAAGAGAAATTAGAAATACAGTGACACTTGTCACAAAAATATAGTTCATAATAACTAATTAATTTTATTGCTCCATGGCATCAAATGCAATATGAACATATTTTAGTTGTTGTTGTTTAGACATCATAGCAACAACAGTTATCATATTTGGTTAATTTTTTTTTAAGTGAATTTATTCTATTTAATGATATAAGAGGCACGTTTTCTCCCAAATATTCGAATTTCATAAATTTTATAATAAATGCATAAAAAGAAACTTGTTTTCACTCTGGCTGAAGAGGGAACATGGATGAAGTTCCAGTAACATGCAGTGTACCTTTTTCAATTTTGCTATTTATTTATTTTTTTAATTATTGATAGCAGATAGATGGGGACTTATATGCCTTAAAATGCAGTATATCATTACTGCATGGAGATGGTACAAATTAATACCATTGTTCTATTATTTTATTTTTTTTTTTTTTTTTTTAACAATAATGTTCACCCTATACAAGGCTTAAGAGCCACTCCAGGTAGAAATTTACAGAGTAAGAGGCACAATTTATGGGGATATGTGGGAAAGATCCTCTTAGGAGTTGGTTCCACAAAGTAAAGTTTGAGGGAAGAAGCTTCTTAAGTGGAACTTGCATCTCACCAATGGAATAGAAATGTTCTTTTAGTAAATATAAGTACTAACCTCTGTCCAGTTTACTCTAATTTATTTGTTTTATTTTTTATCACTTTTGTAAAAAAAAAAAAAAAACTTGAATGATGATTCTGTGACTGTATTCCTCATTTTTTTTATTTTTTTTTTATTTTTTGAATATATATATATATATAAAAAACAATGTGCGATCAAGAATATTCTTTGTTAATTGCAATTCCTATCAACTTTTTTCTTTTTTTTTTTTTTTTCTTTTAGATTTATAGGAGGTTTGTCTTTTGATGAGCAGAATCTTGTCTCACAAATGAGTATTCAAGTTGTGCTGAACCAGCAGCGGCATTTTGTTATCAATCCTTGGTCAATGATTGCAGCTGTGCTTATGCAGAATAAAGATGGAATCTCCGTTAAGCAACTTGTCAAAGAAGTGGAATGGCTTAAACGACAGGCATCAAATCTTGGGGCATACATTGACTGGCCAGGTAAGTCATTTAAAGATCCTCTTGCTAACTTTCCCTCTCTTCTGGTTTTAAAACCTAAGCAGTTACGGCTATTGTAGCATTTTTAGACCAACTGATTTAATATTGTTGTGTAACAAATAACACCAGTAGAAGAGATAAATACTGTTTAAATAAATTGACCCTCTATTCAAATACAGGTATCTACTAAAAATAGCATTTGAAAGAATAAAAAATAAAATTCATTATGTTTCAGATTTAAAACTGAGCAGATATGCATTTCAAGAAAAATCCGAATGAGTGAATGTGCTTTAAAGGCAAAATAGAACCTTGCTTTGTTGTGAAACTCTTTGTAGCTGAGCGGTAAAAGCATATTTGATGAAACAGTTCCTTCTGCAAAGTTGGGGGGTGCAAGGTTGAATCCAGCCAGCAGACACATTTTTTTTAACACAGGCTGATAATTTAAATAAATAATCTTTTAAAGTAAACCTAGTGTTTGTTCAAATATGTGTATCCCTAAAAATAGCACTTGAAGTTTATATATATATATATATATATATATATATATATATATATATATATATATATAAAAAATCCTCACAAGCAAGTGAATATGAATTCTCCACACTTAGATCAAAAATCTAAGTTTTTTGCTACTTATGAAATTGGTGCTGCCAGTTGTAAGAAGTACAGGATATTCTTGCACTAAAATATAACTGAATGCCCAAACATTTTTGGGTCTGTCCCAAATCATGAATAGTTAAAAGTGAGTTAACTCTTGATATTCTGAAAAGAATAAAATATTAAAAAATACTTATACTCAGTATAATCCAATCAGGATTTAAGCTAGCTTCTTAGACCCCTAGGCCATAGTATCAACCATATCTATCTTGGATTATAAAAGCTCCTGTTCTAATTCCTGTGGTATAATGAAGCTATTGTTTTATTAAAGAAGTTGGAATCTGCATATTCTTACACAAAAAGATAAGTTCATATGCCTTTTCTTTCATTTCTCCTTGGATTTGTTGCAGACTTGCTTTGCAATTGTTACAGAAGGCTCACTCCCTTTTTAATGTCTTTTGAAAAGAGTTGGTAACATGCTAGCTCATTACTTTGTGTGTATTAGATGCCTGTTTTTATGGATCTGTGGCATCTTTGTCTCAATAGCTGGTGACCAACAAAAGGATCAGTTTTCTATAAAGCCCAGAAAGAAAGCTTATTTGATGTTTATCATTTCAGTTTTAAATCTAACCTGCAGCTTCCAACATTATTTTCATTTTTCTAAATCTCTGGGACTCTTTTTCTTTTTTTTATTACTACAGTTTATTTAATTCAGATCTTACATGATATAATCTTTTTGTGTGTGTTGCGCTAGTTTCATAGAAATTTATTTTAATATTTAAAGGATTTTTATTTTTTATTTTGAAAAGAATGCTAATTTTAGGCTGTGAAAACAAAGGGATTACCAGTCTTTTCTGCAAGGCATTTCTTGAGAAATGTACTTTTTTTTTTTTTTTATAATCATTTCACCCCAAGCAAAGCAATAAAGCTACTAAGACACAATGGATTATTGAGTCTTACAGAATATGAGAAAAAAAAACATTATTAAGGAGAGAGAACAATAAAAGAACAGGAATTAAGAAGACAGAAGATAACAATTGACATTGCATTTAAATTTTTGAAGATCAAAACTGACTGGGAAGCAAGAAGCTGGAAGAAAGTTCCACAAGCAAGAAGTGCAATGGAGGAAACAATTAGCATAGAACTTCTAGCCATTTCAACTATATTTCATATAACTCTATGTAGACATTTCAATTTTTTTTTATATCTAAATCTTCATTTGTTTTTATCAGGACATGAACCAGCTGAGACTGTTATCCAGGAAAGCCTGAAAATTCACAAGAACTTGGTCACTGTGAATAGTATGGACATAGTGGAAATGCGACAAGCAGAAAGGAAAGGATCTGACAGTCTGATGGACACAGCAGCTCACCACTTGATGCTGGCCTCCTATCGTAATCAACTTATGCATGTCTTTGTCCGAGTGGCTTTGATCACTCTACCTATCAATGCTTGTACTCAGGACACTCTCTCTTTAGGCAAGTGTTTTTATTTTTATCTTTTTTTGTTTTTATTTCTATCCATACGCTTTCATTTTACATTTCTATCTAAACTGGCAATGATAAATAATTTTTTAGTTTACAAAAATTAAGAAAAAAAAAAAGGTATCTTATATTCACTACTCTTGTATTTCACAGATGATCTCTTTGAAAAATACACCTTCTTGGAAAAACTACTTAGTCGAGACTTTATCTTTCTTCCTGGTAACACAAGACAGGTAAGAAATGTTTTTCTTTCTTTCAAGCCTGGAACATCATTAGAATTTTTAAAGGCGATGTTTTCATTTTTGGTTTTTTCATTATCCCTTTACCAATAGTTTAACATATGTATTTGTTTTTATTTACTAACTGGCTCCTAATGGATAGTATTCTGAACAATCAGACTACTATCCATTACAACTTTTCTCTCGTATGTTGGTAGATGTGTGGGTGTTGTGATATGTAGCACCTCAGAATGAGACATTGAAGAGTTGAGTTTGGATTCCAGTCAAACATGTTACATTATGTACACATAACCTTGGGAAAGATATGAATCCATTTCTTCTCTCCCACCTGCTGTGGGTTAAATAGAAAAACAGACTGGGCTCTAAAGTTTTTGTTGGCAACCAGTAAGAGAAGAACTCCTCTGAATTCAAAATCTGAGGAGAGCTGTTTAGTGGCCACAAGATACAATGTGTGCCTCAGTTCTCTGTATTCTGTTTCTCCTGAAAAAAAAAATATATAGATAGGGAGAGATTAGAGTTTTTCCAACAAGAGAAAAGTGCAAATGTTTTTAGTTATTTAGTTTTTTATATATTTATTTTCCATATTTTTTGCTACATGAGTTTTGGGTTTTGTGACCATCATCAGATGAAGAATGTTTATTTCCACATATTATTTAAAGGAATTAAATTTTTCTTGTGTTTAACCATTGTCTTTTGTGTGTGATAGTAATCCAAATTCTTCTTTAACTGGCAGAAAAATATTCCTCTAATTAAGTTGTAATAAAACAATTAGGATTGGTCAGAGAAAGGGGAAGGAATGAGGTCTTTGCTCTTATCATTTTATGTCCTGTGTATCTTTTTACACCTTTCTCCATTTTGTGTATTGTGTGTGTGTGTGTTTTTTGCTAGTATGTGTAGATATATTTCTTCTCCATACATATACATATTGTTTTATTACAAGGAAATAGTATATATACATACGATAAGAACAAAGATCCCCTTCCTTTCCCTTTCTCTGATCAATCCTAATTGTTTTATTAGCGCTTAAGCACAGGAATATTTTTCTGCCAGTCCAAGAAGAATTTGGTTACTACCACACACAAAAGACAATGGTTAGACATGAGAAAACAATAATTCCTTTAAATAATATGTAGAAATAACCATTCTCCACCTGATGAGTCACAAGACTCTAAACACATGTAGCAAAAAATATGAAAAATAAAATATAATATATAACTAAAAACGTTTGCAGCTTCTCTTTAAAACGTGTGTGTGTGTCTGTGGATTGACCCATTTGCTCTCACAATTGTTGCTTGCTGATCAAATAAATTTTTACGAGTCCCAGTAAAAAGAAAATCAGTTCAGACTTTGTGAAAATATCAACAGGCTGCTGTAATGAACAATAAAGTATGAACATTATTTGTTGAAGGAGCCATCATTAATTCCTATTTTCAATTACTAAAAGATCCTGTTTCAATTCCTGTGGTATAATGATGCTATTGTTTTATTAAGGAAGTTAGAATCTGCAGAATTCCTATACAAAAATGATAATTTCATATTGCCTTCTCTTTCATTTCTCCTTGAATTTATTGCAGACTTGCTTTGCAGTTGTTACAGAAGGTTCACCCCCTTTTTAAATCTTTCAAAGGGAGTTGGCAACATACTAGCTCATTACTTTGTGTGTATTAGATGTCTATTTTTATGGATTTGTGGCATCTTTGTCTCAATAGCTGGTTACCAACAAAAGAACCAATTTTCTATAAAGCCCAGAAGGAAAGCTTATTTGATGTTTATTATTTCAATTTTAAATCTAACATTTGGTACGTTCTTATGCCTCTGACCTTTATTTTCACTTTTACTAAATTCTCCCTTTGCATCACTTCTTTACTGGTTTGTTTTCCAAGTATCTATGACACCAAACTTGTTCAAAAGTATCTTTTCAGCAATATGCTACCTCTTTCTCAGCTCAGTGGTTAAACGCTGCTTCAAGCAAATGAAGCCTGTAGGCCTTTATGAGGACCATCCTTTTCTGAACCTTGTGAACTGGTGCTATAGAATTACAAATAAAAAAATCTTTGCCAAATAACAGAAACCACATCACTTGAGGTAACAACTAAAATGGATAGAAGACGTAAATTGAAAAGAAAATAACATAATCAAGATGCTGATGTTCTACACTACTTCAAACAAAAGCCCTCCCCTATCAGGAAAGAGTAATAACAGTGGACTTGAGAAAACTATTTTACTGAAAAATTCTTTCAAGATGATGATTTTATAAATTTCAACCAAAAGTGGCACTGGCTTCTCAATCAGTGGATGATGAATGTTTTTTTTTTTTTTTTTTTATAAGGAAACAGCTAATATTACCATTACCATCACAGATATCATATTTGACTTCAATTTAACACGGGAAAGCTCTAGGCTATTTGTTTTGATGTAAACATCCCCGGGATGATAAATTATTCATATAATTACAATAACCCTATTATAAAGTAATATTAATGTACCTTATAAGCATTTTTTAACCATTGCATTTTTTCCTCTAAATATATCATCATTGATGAACTTATTGTATTTCCCATCAGGATTTTGAACAGGCTTTATTGGTATTAACACACACCTGTGGAGTTGCAGTACAGGACAAAGCTGTTCAAATAAAGACATCCACTAACAAATACACTGTCTTCTTCAGCCACATGTTTGAACCCTTCTTGTTAGGATACTGGGTAAGTACTTGACTAAAATTGCCTTTACAGTCAACTCTAATATCAGGACTTTATTTGTTATTAAACTGTTTCTTTTTTACTTAAGTTGTCAACATCCGCATATACATACATAAATGTATGTATGTGTACATACACATATATATATATCTCCTCGTGTCTCCCGTATATGAGTGTGCGTCCATGTATGTGAGCGATCATTGTTTTTGGTCACCCTGTGTTCAATTTTTTTTTTTTTTTTTTTTTTGGGGGGGTTACGATCTATTCAGTTCGGGTTTGAATTTGTCTATAAAGTTTTTTTTCCTGTATTTGTAGATACGAGTAATTGTCTGTTTGATATATCGGCATGATATTAAACTTACCCTGGTTACATTTGAAAATGTGTTGTGATACAAAAAGTTTTCTGTTGTCTGTCAATTTTATATTGCTTTTGTGTAGGGAGACCCTGTTGTTCAGTTGTTGGCTGATGCCTATATATGACTTCTTACATTTTGTGCATTTAAGTGCATAAACTTGACAACTTAAGAAGTACGTGTGTGTGTGTGTGTGTGCATGTGTATGTATGTGTGTGTGTGTGTGTGTGTATGTGTGTGTACTGGTTCCATGTAGCTTGGGAAAATGTGTATATGTGTGTGTGTACTGACTACTTGTGGTGGGATAGTGTGTATGTGCGTATGTGTGTGTATGCGTGTATAAGTACAAATAAGTTTACGAATTCCTCGTAGTAAGGAAATATCGCACGCATATATACACGCATGCTGACAGGAACACGCATAAAAATAGAAACAGATCCAAGAGCACATAGAGGTCACTAAAACATTAAAAGATTAAATGCCGATAACTACTCGCTGGACAAACCTTAATTGTTTTATGACCCTTCACGCAGAACTCTTCATTGACAATTCTAGAAAGAAAATTCGGATTGCCAACACACAGAATGTCTCATATCGAGAATATTCCACATTGAACATGAAGAAAAATTAATTATTTTAATATGTAAAAATCTCCACTTTCACCTGAAGACGGTTATGAGACCAGACCAGAAACACGTGTCGTGAAATTATGTAAAACAAAGTATAATATTTTTCTCAATAAATCCACATTACAACCAAAAACGTTTGCGGCACCCCTCTTCTTTTTAATATATATATATATATATATATATATAGGGTTGGTGCATAATTATCAGGCGTTTTTGAAACACTATTTATTAGGAAAAAAAGAAACATAACCAACAATAACATTTTTAAATAACTATTTAGGAGTGTATGATTATTGACTGAAAATAAAATAATATTTTTATTTTAAAAAAAAAAAAAGTAAACCAAAACAGCAATTTTTACTAACAAATAATTTGCCTACAAAAACGCCTGATAATTATGCACCAACCCAATATATATATGTATGTATATATGTGACAATTTTTGAATATTAAACTGTTAAGTCATGATTTTTGACATGTGATAGTATAAGTATCATTGTATTTTTTTTTTTTTTTTTGTTTATTTCTTCAGTTAAAGAGATTAAATTATTAAAATGTAGGTTGTTTTGAAAAGTGGAAAGGACACTGGGATAAGTGAGATTAAACAGAAGCTGATGAGGCATCTGATGGTGACCCCTGAAAGTCTGTTGACTGTTTTGGAAAATTGAAGGGATACTGGGATAAGTGAGTGAGATTAAGGAGAATGTGATGAGGCAGTTGTAGTAATTAAAGAGGTTAAAAAAAATTATCTTCTTTCAGAACAGAACATGTGTCTGTGTGCACACATGCACATATTCAGTGTGTAAACATTTTTCAATGATTATATTTTGTTTTTGTTTCTTTCCCAAGGTGCTATGCCAACATTTGCTGTCCCTGCCATCAATTGCCCATGACAAACCAATGGCAAAACCTGCAAAAATGATCACAAAAGAAGCTCAAATGGTTGTAGCTCGTTTGCTGCGTGAACAGCTCATCAAGCACCCAGAAACCCTGTCTCTTGATCTGCTCAACAATGGATTGATGGCATTATGCAACATAAATGCATTACACAAGGAAAAGAGGTAAATTGAAATTTTTGGCAATATTTTAAGCAAAACATTAAATATAAAATGAACTGCACTGTTTTATTTATTTTTAAAATATTGATTTCTTACAAATATTTTTTGATTTACATTCTTTTTGTTATTAAAAAGAAAAAAATCACCATTTTAATGTTCTGTCTTTATAAAATCTTTGAAAAATTTTATTTTAAGGACTTTTTGCAAGAAGACTTCATTTCTTTTTTCTTTGATTATCTAGGATAACAATGCCTCCTCAATTACATTCTCATTTTGAAATTTACACCTTTTAATCATTTTCTCCTCCCCACACTAATGCCTGCTATCCAGCAATGTTGTTTAGTCTCTGAGGAATGTAAATTCTTTTATTCTTGGTCTATGCGAATCAGAAGGGAAAAAAGCATCAGATACAATGTCATCTGTTAGTAAATATGTATTTATCAAATGTTGAATTTAAAGAATTTTTTTCTTTCTATTTTTTAAACTCTCAGGGATGGAGCTGTTTACATGGCACCAAACACAGTGGTACTAACAAAAGTAACTGAAAGTATTGGTATGTATAGAATTTTTCATGAACTCTTTTGTGTGTGTGTGTGTGTGAGAGAGAGATATATCTATGCCTATATGGTTTGTCTGGAAAGAAAGCCATTTTGAATCTCTCAAAAATTGATTGTGAAAACCTCATGTAATCTGCCTACCAACCAGAAGAGATGCCATTGAGCTCTTGTATATTGTGTGACTGTGACATTCACAATGTATATTCATCAAATTTTGCTTGAAACTTTGGCATTTGTTAGTGGAAACTATTGGAATGATTAAGAAGGCATTCAGGAATAATTGAATAAATGAAGCCCAGATAAAATTTTTGTGCCAAATGCTGCAGAATTGGAAGGTCTTCAGCAAGGGGAATACTTAAAAATGTTGGCTGTGTATGGTATCCAGTCAAAGGAAATTAGCAATTGACAGTGCAAGAATTGGAAAATCTTGGAGTTCAAAGACTGTCCAGAAAGTATCCGGCCATTTTGAATATCAGATTCTTCAAATTACATGCAGATTATTTTTTTTAACAATCCAGAACTGTTAGCCCCAGCCCACAAGCTGGAATTTGACTGCCTTAAAATCCTGGTTTTTCTAAAAAAAACTAAAATTGCCACTGAAATTAAATTTTAAATTGTGAATGAAGTGAAGAAAAAATGCAATAGAAGAAGTAATGGTAACAGTTTGTTTTGACAATGGGGATGAGTGGAGGAGAGTAAGGAGAACACGATGATGCAGCTGATAGCAATCCCAAAATAGGACTTTGCAGGCTGTTTTGATAAGTGATAGGGACACTGGGATGAAGGAGTGAGATTAAGGAGAACATGAGGCAGCTGATGGTGATCCCAAAAGAGGACTTTTCAGGCTGTTGTGAAAAGTGGAAGGGACAATGAGGACAAGTGAGTGAGATTAAGGAGAACATGATGAAGCAGCTGATGGTGATCTCAAAAGAGGACTTTTCAGGCTGTTGTGAAAAGTGGAAGGGACAATGAGGATAAGTGAGATTAAGGAGAACATGAGGCAGCTGATGGTGATCCCAAAAGAGGACTTTTCAGGCTGTTGTGAAAAGTGGAAGGGACAATGAAGATAAGTGAGTGAGGCTTCAAGAATAGTAGTTTGAATGGGACTAAGGCACTACTGCCCTAAGCAGGCTAGTTTTTCCTTAATAGTAAATGTCATTTTCAAGTTTTAGTAAATTCACAATCATCCTACAAATTGAGTTTTAAAGCAGAACAGATTTTATGTTCTCAGTTTTTAACTGGATTTGTATGGATATTTATAAATGCCAAAGTATATGACTGTTTTGACCTATATTATTCAAAATTGACTATTTAAAAATACTTCTTACCTTTATTTATATTTCATCCAAGTTGTCTTTTTTTTGTGCTGTGTCTATTCAAGACTTGAATGATCATAGATCTTCACAACTTTCTGTTTCCTGTTGTTCTAAGTAACATTTGACTCTTTACCAAATTCTTAAGTAGCTTACTTATGTTTCCCCCCTGCCCGAATATCCTTCAATATATCCTTTGAAGTGTTAAATTTTCTATAGTCATCATGTCGGTATAAATTGTGACTGTCTAACAATATGCAAGCTGCCACTAACAGGTTAAACAGGTTTTTTTGGTATACCTGAGACCATTTTCATACTTCACTCCTAAATATAATTAGAAATGAGGGAGAGAAAAAAAAGAAACAGTTTTTTTTGTTTACATAAAGGAATTATATAATTGTGTTAACAGCATGAAAAGACCAAGCAACTTAAACACACTCAAAAAAGGCAGGCAAAGTTAGTGGCATTTAAATAGACAAAAGGAGACGGCAAAAACTGTGAAAACAATTTTGATTGACTCAAAATCAAAAAGAATCATACCAATAAATGGCTCGGCCCAAGATTTGCAGATTCATTTCAGAGGCCTGGAAGCTGGCTGGTAGGTAATTGCTCCTGTTTGGATCACATGGAAAAGGGGTCTGATGTTTTTGGAGCACTGGAATTTCCAATGATGCCAAGAATAAATATCACTTTTAAGAGCAGATACAAAATACAAAAGAAGAGAATAGTAACAGCATTTTCTTGTTCAGGCACCTTATACAAAAACTGACAAAGGAGTAATTGGCAGAGCTTAAATGCAGCTCCAGCAGGGAACTACTTTTGTGTTGGGTGAGACAATTTTTCTTTCCGGAATCTATCGTACATATCTATAAATCTACCATTCATTCATGCTTAGAATATTGCTGCTATATATTGTCCGATGCCCCTGCTATTCACCTGGAGCTCCTTGATACAATCCAAAGAAGAATCAGCAATATTATTGGCCCAGATCTGGTGGCTCAGCTTCAATCACTTGCACACTGCCATAAGGTTGCTTCTCTGTGCCTTTTTTACAAATACTTTCATGATAATTCTTTGGATGAGCTCTTCACTATAGTACCTAGACTGAGGAGTTTAAGGACAATACTAGACTGGCATTGAGATCTCATCTATTTACAGTTGAGCTGTAGCTGTAACTTCTATGCCAACAGTTTCTTTTCTCACACTTCTCATTTGTGGAACTTTCTTCTATCTCTATGCTTTCCAGCCCACTTTAATCTACAAAAATTTAAATGCAATGTCAATCGCTATCTGCTGTTCTCCTGATTACTCTTTTCTCTTTCTACTCATTACTAATGTTTCTGTTCCTAATTCCTCCACACCCTGTAACCCTTTGCATGCTAATGGCTGTATTGCCTGGCTTAAGATGGCACTGATTTAAAAAAAACGGAAAAAACAATAACAGCAGGGGGGCCAAGCCTCTTGCTGCTAATTCAAATGCAATTAACCTCTACTACTGAAGCTTCCAGGCACACTGCAAGGGTGTTTATAATATGATGATGACAAGGATGCAATAATAATAGCAACAGCAGTAACAGCAGTATTTGTCTTTTTAATTGTTTGATAATTCTCTGTCTTATGGGATAAGAGTGTTGGCTAAACACATATATCTATTTACCTGGCAATCTTTAGTTTAATCCCTGAGTTTTGTAGTCATAAGTTATATAATCAAGTGTGCAGAAGAAATCCATTTACCTTTAAAACAATTGAGGGTGTGCATCTGCCAATGCAATTGGCTCCATGATGTAAAGAAAAATTAGAGCAGACTCATTCCATCATTTATAACAGAAAACGGTTGATGGAATAACCCGAATGTGCTGGCTACAGGGTCGCTGGAATAGTCCGGATGTGCTGGCTACAGGGTCGATGGAATAGTCCGGATGTGCTGGCTACAGGGTCGATGGAATAACCTGGATATGCTGGCTACAGATTAGTGAGCCTACCTTCAAATCCAGTGAACAAGTGAGAAGGAAGCTGATTAGGTTGAAGAGTGAATTTGTGATTATTTGAGCTTATGGTTCTGAATTTGTGAGTTTGCTACAAGCTATGTCAGCCATCAGAGGGAGGACAAAGCATTCAAAATCAAGCTCAGTGGAAAAGGTATGAGCAGCATCACAGGGATGAATTATGAAAGTGAAATGAGAACAATTTACTCTTATTGATTGAATAAAGGGTTTGTGTCAATATCCCCAAAAGCTACCAACTACAGCAAATATGGCCAATATCTTAATGACTATAACAACCAAGCTGAAGACCGTAATCTTGAATATAAGTAGGGCAGTGGTATGAAGATACAACAGACTCCCTCTTTGTCACCAGTTGGACAAATCATTCCCTGCATTATGTTTCACCTTGAGTTCGCCTGAAAGACTGAAAAAGATTCGCTGCACATTCACAAGAAACAGAAGATAAAATCAACAGCAAGAAATGAAGACACAAATCCAATTCTCAATAATTTGGTGCTTATTTCAACAAGGTTCTCAATTGGACTTGTATTCTCGTGGGTAGTAGATGGGTGAAACCAAGGTCCGTTTGATTCTTCTTGTTTCACTTGAGTGACTGCTACCTATGTGATTGATAGGACTACTAATGGAAACATCTGGTTTCCAACGAAATACCACTTGATCCTCTTTTTCATTTATTTCTTTATTATTTTCTCCTTCATTCAAGTGCATTGTCATTTTGAACCCAAGACTTCAAAGACTTTATCTTCTAGCCATTAAAAAGAAAACCTGATACTTTTGACTCCAATAATATAATTTAGGGCCCACTTGACTTTGTGTCTGTTCAGCTGGTCATATGGGCAAAGCTGTACCACAGTGGAAGAAAATCATAATTCCTTGACTCAAAAATTCTGACAAACATTTCTTTTAAAAATATATTCTCTGCATCATTTTGAAAAGATGTTCCCAAAAAAAATGAATTAAAAGAAAAGATTATTATTGAAATTCATAATTTGGATAAAGTATTGAAGACAAAATCTTTTTTGAAATCTTGTAAACATTTTTGATTATTTTATGAAAAATTCCTATCATCCAGAAATTATGGCCACATCACATTGATACACCAATTCCCATATGATCACTGAAGTTAAGCAATGTCAAGCTTGGTCAGTACCTAGATGGGTGACCAATTGGGTATACCAGATGCATGTATACTGGATAATGGCCAAGAATTGTTAATTAGAGAGCCCAGTTCCAATTCTTGTTGGGTTCGTTATATTCACTTAGGCGCAAATACCCTTGGGAAAGGTATGGAATCTGCCTCTTCCCCTCCCCCCACGCTATGGGTTAATTTGAAAGACTTGTGTCACCAAACCATTATTATCTCCAGAAAACTAAATTCTTACAATCTAAAAATATTTTCCAGCTTTAAATAACCTGCAAAGGGTTGATAAGCCATAGAAAACAAATTATTCAACCATATTTTCTTTTAAAACTTCCTTTTTAACCACAGTAACTATTTATAAATAATTTCTAATCAAATTTAGGTAAGTAATGAAATTAATTTTATTAAACAAGCCAAATATATAAATCAAAATGTCCATAAAAGGAAATCCTTCAATGAAAATTTAAGCAAATAATTAAAGAATGTACTAACAATTAATGATACTAAAATGTAGCAATGCATCAGTTTGGAAACCTCTTCTCCTGATACTTGTAATAACATTTTTATCTCAATAATTATACTTCATAAAACCCCTACAAATATAAATTTTGTTTTCCAAAATACCACTTGTGCAGTTATCATTTAGTTTTTTTTTTCTTTCTTTCTTATTTCAGCTCAGCACATTGAAGTTCCTACTATGCCAATGGCCAGCATCAATGTGGATACCAAGACTGTAGTTGTTAATGCTAAATTATAGGGCAACACTAGTTGGCTTGTTAATTCCTTTACTATCAACCATGACAACGTTTTTGTTTAACAAAAAAGAAAAAAAGAAAAAAAGGACTCTCCACAAAAAGTATCAGAGAAACAGTTTTTTTTTTTTTTTTTTTTTCACAAATTTTTTTTTTTATGCTGAAAATCAACAAATCTAATCTGCTCAGCTAATGCTCTAATGATGAAAGACATTTTGTGACTATATTTTTTGATGCATTTTTTGTTTCTGTTTTATTTTTTTTGTTTTAACAGGAATTTCTTTAGATCTTTTTTTTTTTTTTTTTTTTTTCAATTGTGTGAATGTAATGGAATATTTTTTTTCTTAATGCAAAGACATTTAAAGATAATTAGAACAGCATTTAATGTCACTGTTCCAAATGCACCATTTTATGACACACTCCCCACCACAATTGTGGGAGTATTGTTAGTAAATACACCAACTATTAAGTTTTATGAAAATCACTTACATAGTCAAGAGGAATTAACTCTTCTCAACCACATTAATGGTAATTAAATATAACTAGTGTAATCCAAATACAGTGGCACCTCGGTTCACAAATTTAATTTGTTCCTAAAGGCCATTCATAACCCAAAATGTTCGTAAACTGAAACTATTTTTCCAATAGGAATCAATGTAGAGAAAAAGTCAGAGTACAATAAAATTGGTAAAGAAAAGCAGAGCACAAAACATGAATACATACAACATGGCGGTTGACTCAGAAATTATTCTGTTCAGGTTAACTCTGATCGGCAATGTTGTTTGAGAACCAAAATTTTGTTCAATAACCAAGGCACTTTCATCTTGAATTTTCTGTTTAAAAACCAATTTGTTCAACATGTGAAACATTTGGGAACCTAGGTTGCTCTGTATATTACTTCTGTGATTGTAGAACATACCATAAATTGCAGCAAACAAGTCGACCTCAAGATTTTTAGTTCAAAATTCTGAGTTAGTCCTATACTTACAGTATAGGTTGACTCCCTCCAAACATATGGTAGGCTACCAGTGACCCAAAAATATTTTTTTAGTTTTCTTGAAAACTCTAATCGTACACCATAATTTACAGTATTAGGCTGGCCAAAATGCTTGTTCACATATTAACCCAGCATTAGTCATCTTGGATTTCTGAAAATGGATAATCCACTGGTAACTGCCTCTCATGACAACTGAGCTATAGCTGCGCCATACCACATGATACACACCCTCACTAAGACAGGAGAGTAGTGGGAAGGAGCAAAAGAAACAAGTTGCTAATTAGGAATTACAAGTACTTTAAAAATTTTGGGATAACAAAACACCTCATGTGACTAATGCAAGGTTAAGTAGAAAATTTACTTAAACTGAACAAACTTTTTGACCAACTCAATAAATATACCAACCTCAATCACATGTTGCAAAATTAGCATCTTATTGAAAACTTTTATAAATGTCATATGACCTCTCAGTATCTGTAAAATTTTAAATACTTCTCATTTTAAAATTATTAAAATTTAATAATTGTTTTTCATTTTGAAATCTATTTATAAAACATAGTTTTAAAAAAAAATCTTTATAAATAGAAACCTTTTGAAAGTTGATTTTCTTATTTCTTCAAGAATGTAGCATTTATTCATTTTTTGTATGGAACTTGTATATATTGGCAGGGTTGGTGCAAGGGTCTTGTACCCACCTCTCTAATCTATGATATAGGGCACCCTACTCTATTACATCTCAATTTTCATAAGGTAGTATTCATATAAAATACAAATTTTATTCTAACCTAATTATATACAATAATGGATCATATGCAATATAGATGAACAATTCAAATAGAAAAATTGAAAATAAATATAATGTATCTTAATATAAATTAGAGACATATCATTCCATCTTGAGATTTTTCTTGTTAAGGTTGAATAATTTAACACATTCAACATTATGGATAAAAAATAGTGAATTTTTTTTTTTTTAAACTTAGCATGAACAAAACAAATTCATGGATTTGGATGAAAAAAAAAAAACAATGATGTCAAAATCCATGAAAATTTTTCATCCTTTAATAGTCATTTGTGCTTAATTTAATTTGTAATGTATATAAATGTAGGTAGAAAAAAAGTAAATGTTTATAAAATAGCAAGGGTCACAAAGCACTGTCTGGGGGCCCCCCAATCATCATGCCCCCACCACTTACTGGTCAGTAGGTAGTATGCACTGGCCCTGTATATTGTGAATCTCATAGTAAGTCATCTTTTTATGAGGTGTGCAAGAGATAAGGATTTTTGTGATGGTTTCTTATCTTGGGAATCTATATTTGATACTAACTTATTATTTCTATCTCTTCCTGAGCAATAATCAGCCAGCTACCCACACTGATTTGACCACTGGTCCAACAAATGGTTTTCTTTCTATTTATTAAGTGGTTGCAACCAAGATGATTTTAATGTAGATTCAGATCTGTTGGCTTCATTACAATTGCAAATAATTTTGTCTACTAAGCTTCATAAATTATTGACTATTTTTTTTAAAAATATGTAAATATAATTATGTTGCAACTACTGTCTCAGAATTCCCCCCCCCAAAAAAAAAACAGATATATGTATGTTTGTTTCAGAATCTGAGATAGTCACAAAATAATTGAATTTAACTGCTCATGCATCTCAACTGACTGGAAACAAGTGATTCTACATTACAAATATCATTTGGATATTTCCATTCAGATTGAAAAAAGGGTAAAAAAAAATGGTGTGTGTGTTTTTTTTTTTTTTTAACCCTTTTATTCTTGACTTATTAATACCGGTAATTTTTTTTTTTTTTTTTTTTTTTTGCTTGCTTTTTCTCTGAACTTCTCTTCAAATGTTTCTATTATGATATTTAAAAAGAAAACAATATTAAATTATTCTTTTATTGTTTTGGGGAAGGAAAGTCTTGTGTGAATAATTGTATAGTGACTGTATATTTTTCAATTATTTCAGCTGATCAAACAAGAAAATTTTTTTACAAGCTGTTTGTAAATTTAAAATTTAGTTTCTTGCTTCTTTTTTTTTTCTTTCCTTTATTGTTTATTATTGCTTTCATCTGACTAGGATTTGCATCTTTTACCACCCCATTAATACTGAGATTAAAACTCACTTCATAAACCACATGGCACAATTTTCTGTACCAAAAACACTGTAATTATCAGCATATAAAGATTTAAGATTATTTTTTATAGAACAAATTGGTAGGTTTCTCTCTATCCTGACATCTCATTAGTTTTCTTGTGTATTTATTTTTTTATCATTTGGATATATGTTAATGTTTGCTTAGGTGTAGGGAAATGGAATATAATAAATTTATAGCATTATGTAACAGTGTGTGATCGCATAATGATAACAAATTCTGTCATTGATTTGGCTTTTAAATTTAATGCAAAAATCATTCTGGAGACTGTTTATTATTCAATCATTTAATATATCCTCTCAGGTTCTGCTTAATATAGATCCGAAAAATAAACAATTATTTTGAGAAAGAAAGACCCACTCAAGTTCATTGAAATTCTCTTTATGGCATTTAACATGGCTATTCTTTACAGATCATTGCATTTTCAAAAACTTACTTCAAAACGCTTCTTGCTCCCTTTCGTATATGTAAAATACTCATTTTTGGAGTATTAAATTTCACATTTCTGGCAAATATTGTTATGGTGCTAGCAAACAAGACACTATAAAAGAATTTACTTTTTAAATAGACTGTCAATCTGCTTTTATACCTCCTATCTAATGTTCACAGAAAATATTTCATTTTATATGGAGTGACTTCTGGTTGGCAGGGATGTAAAATTGAGCTCTTAAACTTCCCTTTCCTAACCTGAGTATTAATGGGGTTGTATTGGAAATGAAATGCCAGTAAGAAATATATTTACTGTTTTTGTTTAAGAAATGATCTCAAGTTTGAAACCTGAATAATTGAAAACCAAATTGTACATTTTTGTTTATTGCTTGAAGAAGAAAAAAAGAATGTTTAATAATTTTAAAAATTTAAATTGAATGAAGAATCTTGAAAACCAACTACAAAATGTGAGCTTTTTGTTCAGTTGTTGTTTCATTTTTTCCCCCACACTTCCTACATTTTTAGTTAAATCAAAGCAAAATTGTCTAAACTGAAATTGCTCAAAAAGCTACTTCATTATTTTTATTATGTTTTTTTTTTTTTTTTTCAAACACTTTTTTGCTGCTACAAATTGTTCAATAAGAAGTAAAAAAAAAATAAGCTAAGGAGAATTCAATTTTTAATTTACTTTCATTTTTTTTGTCTCTCTCTGTGTGTGTGTGTGTGTGTGTGCACGCGTTAATGTTAAAAGCAGAAGAGCTGTCATTTATCCTTTTAGAATCTCAATTTGAAATACTTTATGATGTCAAAAAGAGAGAGATTGATGAAACAATTTTAATTGCTCAAACTATTGCAGATAAAAACAAAATAGTTCTCTAAGCCTTTAATGATTTATTTCACATTGGTAGGAATAAGATCTGTCGATCAAACTGCTTTTATTTAATTATTAGATTAATTATTTTACACTAGTATTAATTTATATGTACAAAGCAACACTTATAAAATGCAGTAAAACTAGTGAATACTCTTTTTGTTTAGTTTTGGACATCGGACTTGTTAAATTGTGTAAGTTTGACAAAATGTATTTCACATTTCAGAAGTTTCAACTGGGAAATTAATAGGAAGTGACTTTCTTTATCTGGGTTAATTTATGAAATGTGTAGCATGAACAATGGAATGGATTTATTTTTGACTCTATAAGCAGTCTTCTGTTAATGAGCTGAGCATCAAGATTCCCTTTAAAGACCATCCCCCATCTCAGATAGATATGAATAAAGTGTTCAAGTCTATTTCTGGATTTTAAGCAATTCTTTCAGCTTTATTAATTATCACAGTCAGAACATTTACATGTTTATAAAATCGTTATTTACATGAACAATATATATATATATATATATATATATATATATATATAT